GGTTAGTTAAGCGCTTGTTTCTGGGTTAGTTAAGCTCTTGTTTCTGGGTTAGTTAAGCTCTTGTTTCTGGGTTAGTTAAGCTCTTGTTTCTGGGTTAGTTAAGCTCTTGTTTCTGGGTTAGTTAAGCGCTTGTTTCCGGGTTAGTTAAACACTTGTTTCCGGGTTAGTTAAACACTTGTTTCCGGGTTGGTTAAGCGGTTGGTTCCAGGTTAGTTAAGTGATTGTTCCTGGCTTAGTTAAGCGCTTGTTTCCGGGTTGGTTAAGCTCTTGTTTCTGGGTTAGTTAAGCGCTTGTTTCCAGGTTAGTTAAGTGCTTGTTTCTGGGTTAGTTAAGTGATTGTTCCTGGGTTAGTTAAGCATTTGTTTCCGGATTGGTTAAGTGATTGTTTTTGGGTTAGTTAAGCGCTCGTTTCCAGGTTAGTTAAGTGATTGTTCCTGGGTTAGTTAAGCGCTTGTTTCCGGATTGGTTAAGCGATTGTTTCTGGGTTAGTTAAGTGCTTGTTTCTGGGTTAGTTAAGCTCTTGTTTCTGTGTTAGTTAAGCGCTTGTTTCTGGGTTAGTTAAGCTCTTGTTTCTGGGTTAGTTAAGTGATTGTTCCTGGGTTAGTTAAGCACTTGTTTCCGGGTTAGTTAAACACTTGTTTCCGGGTTGGTTAAGCGGTTGGTTCCAGTTTAGTTAAGTGATTGTTCCTGGGTTAGTTAAGCACTTGTTTCCGGGTTAGTTAAACACTTGTTTCCGGGTTGGTTAAGCAGTTGGTTCCAGGTTAGTTAAGTGATTGTTCCTGGCTTAGTTCAGCGCTTGTTTCTGGGTTATTTAAGCACTGAGGTCTTCAGCTGCATGAACTGACAAGCGTGTCACATCACGTGTAAAACGGAGCGTCTTACATGTCAACACACATCAAGTGTCTGTATCGAATGTCAAAGACGTTTTATTTGTTGTATCTTTTTCTGTAATCCAATGATGCTCTTAAAGTGGGCCACTAAAAGCTGCCATACATTATTAAGGCATGTGGAAGAAGAGCTTCAGTCAGATTCAGACCAGAAGAATCACCCGTCCATGTCTGAAGATCAGTACAGACACAGAGAAGCTCATCTTCCACATTTATGCTTGCTTTTTTAATCATACTTTTATGGAACATCTGTGTCTTTTTGAAACTTTAAAGCATTTAATTTCATCTCGACAAACAGTAAAATACTATGAAATGACATCAGAAGTGATCGGGACAGCAGACGATGCTTCACTGGAAGCACTGGAGGAAACGCAGCTGCTTTACTGAACACATGAGGAGACAGACAGCAGGTTCCTGAGAAACAAATGACACCAGAATGTTCTCACATATTTACAAACCGCAGAGATATCAACCTGAAACAACGGCGCTGTGAAACGAATAAAGTCATACGGGTTCAGAGCAGCACGAGGATCATTAAACGGTGAGAGAATGATGTTTTCATTGACTTCACAGGAACATCCAGACACCGGGGAACTGGTGGAGGAGCAGTGATGATTTGACTTGAATGAGTGCTAATTCATCTGAACTCGGGTCAAACATCAGCTCCAGTCCTGTGACTGTAATCGTCCTGCAGCTCTCAAACACTGAGATGAGGATCAATCTGCTGAAGCTGCACTCCAGTACAGTACAGTACAGTGACGTTGACATGGCAACCAGCATCCCGTCTGCTTCCTCTCTCTGTGGGCCTTCTGCTGTTATGAAAGACAAACTCACGGACTGATCCGTTATAATGATAATCTATCACAAATGCACTCTAGGATTCATCACTGATCGTCATTGGAATTACATCAGGAATTATTAATTAACATCTGGATTAACACTATATTGTGCCTAAAATAACACCTTTACATTTATATACTACAATTTACATAAATTAAAAATGATTGTAACAAGTTTTTAAAATAAAATAAAAAATGTAACGTTACTACATTTACACTAACAGTTAAAAGTTTTTGAACAGTAAGATTTTATTAATGTTTTTTAAAGAATTCTCTTCTGCTCACCAAGCCTGCATTTATTTGATCCAAAATACAGCAAAAGCAGTAATATTGTAAAATATTTTTACTATTTAAAATAACTGTTTACTATGTGAATCTCTGTTAAACTGTAATGTATTTCTGTGATGCGCAGCTGTATTTTCAGCATCATTACTCCAGTCTTCAGTGTCACATGATCTTCAGAAATCAGAATAATATGCTGATTTGCTGCTCAAGAAACATTTCTGATTATTGTTCTGATTATTATTACATTTTTTTCAGGATTCTTTGATGAATAGAAAGATTTATCTGAAATAAAAAGCTTTTGTAACATTATACACTCTACATTCAAAAGCTTGGAGTCAGTATAATTGTTTTTTTGGGAAAGAAATTATAGAAATTAATATTTTTATTTAGCAAGGATGCTTTAAATTGATCAAAAGTGATGATAAAGGCATTTATAATGTTACAAAAGATTTCTATTTCAGATAAATGCTGTTATTCTGAACTTTCGATTCATCAAAGAAACCTGAAACAATTATACTCTGCTGTTTTCAACATCATAATAATCAGAAATGTTTCTTGAGCAGCAAATCAGCATATTAGAATGACTTCTGAAGATCATGTGACACTGAAGACTGGAATAAGTTTTGTCTGGTAGTGTATGTTTTCAATATATATTTTTTTCAATCACTTTTCTATAAACGTGTAATATAGTCTAATATCAAGGTTTCTCAAACTGGGGTTTATGAGTTGATCGAAATTCACCAGATGTAAAATTAAAATAAATATATAATTTTAACGTAAAAACAATAAAAATGAAACACACACACAAAATTAAATATTTTATCTTAAAATATTTTTACCTGCATGTCACATGACCTGACATCAGAGCAGGGTTATTATAATGAACTAAAACTAAAAAACATTAAAAACATTTTTGTTACTTGAAACAAAATAAATGTTAACTGAAATCAAATGAAATATTTAAAAAACTTAGCCAGTTTCCAAAGCAACTTTTCTCATTTCATTTGATTTTAACTTTATATTCATTTACTCCTCAGAAGTGAACAGTAAGAAGAGTAGGGAATGAAAGTCAGGTTGAAACAGGCTCGTCCTCATTAAACTCCTAAACGAGCGTGGAGTTCTGTCATGACGTGTTTTCATCAAGAGCCGCTTCACCCGTTCACATCCATCCGTCCGTCTCCACAAATGAAGCGTCTCTCGTCACGTGTGGGATCCGTGACCAGCCGTAATCACAACAACGTGGTAAAAATGTGGTAAAATGCCGAGACGCCACTAAAGCTTTTCAACCATT